TTGCTATTTTAAAAAAAAAAAAAAAAAAAGGTAACAGAACATCTCAGTCCCATAGTGCTTTTGTGATGTGTTGAGATTTACTATGGTCTTCTCAGTCCAGTGAGGTATTTTAAAGCAATTCTGCAATAAATATGGGAATACTTCAGAAGGAATATTAGACTTGAGGAGGCTCAGTGTTTTTATTGAGTTTATTCAGCTCATCGTGAAGAGCGATCTGGTGCCCATTTCTCAAATCCAGAAAAATATGTTGTAATATTACTTCTGAGTTTTGGTATTAATTCAAACCAATTACCTGTATGCCTAGACATTTTAAAAGAAACAATAGCTGCAATGCAAGGAAATCATAATATTTGGGGAGGAGGGGAGGCAACCAAGTAATACCAACATAGCTTCTATTCTACTACTTTTCATCAGGATTCTTTCCTCTCAATATTACTGATGAGTTCCTAAAGTTTGCCTTTTTTCATCCGTGTTAGAGATTAATAGTCTATATAAACCTCTATTAAAATATTGCTCAGAAGTAAAAATGGTGTTCAGAGTCATCTCACTGAGACAACATTTGCTGCTTCCTGCAGAGGTTGGCTACGTGTGGATATGAGGAGGTAACCCCACTGGGTCTTTACAGCTGTTGCACATCTTCCAGCTCTGCTGAGGGTATGTGAGGAAAGCTGGAAAGACTATGTAGTTAAGCCTGTGAGGGATATATGTGATTTAGCTTTCTTTTCTTAGGCAAATTATGCAACTGATGATTCTTTTCTGCTGATCTTCTTTGCACACAACTAGAGAGGAAACCTTGAATTCTGGAAGGTCTGAACTTCTATCTGTATGCACCTTGTAATGTATAGGAATAAACAAGACTTTCCCTGACTTTTGGTTGCTCCAGGCAACATTAGGTTTAGAAAAGGGAGTTGGAACATTTGTTTGTATTGAGGTGCCCATTGTTTCATCAGGTGAGATAACACAGCAAAGGAAGCCATCTCGGTCCAGTACAGGGCAGATGAGCTAGGCAAGCCACGTAGTTCCCAGACTGGGAATCTTAAGGGAAGACTGGCTCTGTAGATTTTGCCTACAGAGAGGAAGTGGAGCAATAGGAGTTCAGGTCGTCTGTCTGAACAAGGTGATTGGGGGTAAGAAACAGGAGATAAGGAAAAGGAATTATCAAGGTGTCAGGATTTGAAGAGCGTATTGGAATGTATTGGAAAACAAAACAAACCCCCTTGACCTTATGGATAAGAAGGCAGAAGGAAAATCTGACAGGATAGGAGCAGGAAATAGTTCAGCTGCAAAAGTAGGTCTTAGTCTCAGATTTGAAATGAGGCAGAGACAGGCTCTCTCTGTGCGAGGAAGAAAATGGTGCTGGGAAAGAAATAGAACTAGGGCATAAGGAAGCAGGAGATAGGGTGCTCTGCCTACCAGAGTACAACCTTCTTTTCTGTATCTGGGTACTACTGCCAGCTCATGTCTTCGTAATCTGCTGATATTGTCCTACTCTCCTTCAGTGTTGTTCTGCAAGGCTGTAGATTACATCTGTAGATTACTCCTCCAGCGTTACGGTAGACGTGAAAAGTTCCAGCGTTTTACATACTTACTTATAAGAACATCTATATGATACTACATTGTAAAATACTTTTTTCAGCAGTTTGTTGTTTGCGAAAGCCTGGGAAATCAATATTATACTAAAAACATAATGTACTTTATAATGTTGTGAAGTTAAGGCAGTCTAAAAAAAAAAAAAAATCTGAGATCCAAACGCATATCATGAGTGTTATCATAGGTTCTTACTAGATTTCCTTCGTGTCCAGGGCATTGCTCACATACTACAACTTTCCCAGTTTTTGCTACTTCAGCAG